TTCTTTTTAGATCTTTTTGTTGAAGTTCTTTTGGATGTTTAAATCCTTCTTCTATCATTGGTACTTCTTTTTTCTTTTTCTTTGATGACCAAATTGAATGGAGTGCACCGAAAATATCATCGTCTTCAAAGAAGTCATCACCGAACAAACTATCTGAAAAGAATTCGTCATCATTATCAAAGAAAGAATCATCGCTATCACTTTGATTTAATAAATCAAAAGGAGTATTTCCTTCTTGATCATCCATGAGTTCAATTTGGTTATTAATTTCATTCATATCCATTTCGTTAATAAAGTCTTTAGTGTTAATGCACTCTAACTCATCTTCTGATTTATTTTCTTTATTATCATTTTCTTTTCTTTCTTCTTCCATAGGTTTATTTATGTTTAATTGTTCTATAGTTTGAGATAATTGTTTCATCATAACAATTCCTTCTTTGCCAACACTTATATTAACTTCTTTTGTGCTTTCACTTTTCTTTTGAACTCCATCTTTTGATTCTTCTTTTTTTTCTTCCTGTTTCATAATGAGAGCTTTTTTATCTTCATTGTTTTGTGTTTTAACAATTTTGTGTTCTTCACAAACACCATTTTTTGTTGGCTCTATTCTTTTTTCATTGACAAGAACTTTTTCTCCATTGTTACTAAATAATTGTTGTTCTATTGGTTTTCCTAGTCCAAGACAAATAATAGGTTCATTCTTTTTAATTTCCTCTGGTAACTGTTTATTTAATTCTTGAGTTTCTTCTTTAATTTCTTCAATAATTTGTGATGTTTCTTTGTCGTCATTATCTTTTTCAACAGGTACTTTTAATGTTTCTTCTCCAACTTCTATGTCAATCGTTTTATTTACATCAAGTGATAATTCACTTTTTTTATTTTCTAGTTCCTTTTCTGATAGCGCAGGTGCTTTAGTAATAGAAAAACGTGGAGGATGTTCAGGACTTAATTCAGGTGTGAGTATTGGTGTGAAATACCCTAAATCCCCTTCTTCGTTTTTTGTTTCTTCCATTTTTTTCATAACTTCTTGTTTTTCTTTCTCCTCATCTGAAGCAGTGAAGTTTGTTTTGTGTTCTTCTTCCATCATTTTTATACATTCTACTTCATCTTTTTTCATCATCTCAGTGATTTGGTTACAATCACTTGTTGTTTTTTGTGAACTGTTTTCATTTTCGCTTGGTGTGCTTGTTGGGTTTGAATTTGAGATATTGTTTGTGGTGCTTTGAGTATCTCCCATTCTTATATTTTCTCCTTTTGATTTTTTTAAGTTCCATCCTGTTTTTCTTTTTTTTTTGACTATTCCTCATCTTATCATTTAATTATTGTTATACTATTTTTGCTATTATCTCTTCAATATTCCATTTTCTTTTCTTCTTACGAATATTAAACTTTATTGTGAAGCAAATTTCTTGTTATATCATCAGTTTATCCTTTTTTAGTTTTTATTTTGATATCTCCATGCGACATATTCTTTTGAAAGTGGTTTAAGTTATTTTATTATGCTCTTTTTGTGAAAAAGAGCTCATGAATTTTCTTGACTCGCCCTTACCATACTTTTAGTTTAACCTAACAAACTAGTTAAGTATGTGTATGTTAACCACACAGTTACCAATGACATAGGCACAGCCTTATTTTCTTTTGCAGAAAGAACGATACAAATAGTTGAACAGAAGAAGAAATAAGACACGAACTTTATTTAGCTTGGGGGTCCTTGTTTCTTTTAAGAAAGGATTCGTCTCAGTTTTGATACCTTAAGGTTGTCTTTTCTTTTTGAAACACAAACAAATGGATAAGTGTCAATTTTATAATAGTGGAATAATAGCATTTTTTCAAAATATTAGAGATTCGTTTTGTCAGATTTAGAGGATTTAATTGGTCATGTTTACAGTAAAAAATGACAACGATTAGAAAGGTAATGATTATTTTTTAACTCTTCTTCAATGAAACCAACAACACTTAGATAATTCAAATATGGTAAGAGAGTTAGAAGATATATAACCAGTATTATGACATTCACTGAAATCCAATAAAAAACTTCTTGTGTAAAGTAGAAATAATTTAATAACAACTAAAACTAAACAAAAGAAAATTACTTTAGAAAGGTCAGTCAGTGACAAGAAGATAATAGTTGAAGAGAGATAACTGCAACTTTATTGTTACAAAAACAAACAGATAAATAATAGTTATGTTATTCTGTGAGAGAGGTATTACAAAACAATAAATTAAAGTGTTTAAGTAGGTCATAGAATTTGGTTATTTTATTGTTATTGGTTAGGAGGGATATCAATAGAAATGATGAAATGGAGGGTGTGAATCTAACTCAAATGAAAAAAAGTTAATGTTAGTATATTGTAAAATAGGAAAAATTATAAAAGATATATCTCAGATAAAATGTAATGATAAAGAATTTAATTTATTTTAGATTAAGTAGGTGTAAATAATATTATACTGGTTATTTAAGTTATTGTGTTGTTTATTTAAGATAAGATTTGAGATTTTATTGTTTATGAATAGTTTTGTATAGTTTTGTTTTTAAAGAAGAGATAATAAAAAACAAATTATACTAAAAGTAATAAAATAATGTTATATGATGTATTTTATTTTCTTCCCTTTTTTGTGACTTTTTGGAAAGAAGATGATTGAATCTTGATAATTACTTTTCATTTTGAAGAAATGGCTGATCGTAAATTCTATTTAACAACAGTAGCACCTTCTACTTCTATTACTCATGCATTAGTTGCCAAACTCAATCAACCAGATGAACAATACCTTGTTATAGTAAAAAATACTATAGTTAATATATATCAATTAACAACAACAGGTCTTGACTTAGTTTACACAAAACAATTTCCTTATAGTGTTTCATTTATTAGTAAGTATCAATCAAAAGGAAGAAATCAC